CAATCCTGTAATAAACTATCTAAAGGTTTATTAACAAGAAAAAAGGAAGAGCGTTATTTACAGGTTAAAACAAGCAAATGTATCCATGCAAACAAGTTACCATCTAAATCCTAAACATGACAGAGTTGTAGTGATCTCTTTTCAAAATGTCTTTCAAGGCAGACCCAGGTGGCAGCCTCTGGGGATCTTTGGCTTTAGTTTAGAGTCTCTGGCTCTTCAGAGTTCAAACAGCCAAAAGATGCAGTTTCTTCTTGTCAGGGATTTTTATTCCTGTCCCCCAGAGTTCAACATGATGAGAAGAGTTTGTCTCCCCTTCATGGGTGTGGGGGAACAATCAACAAAGTCTTTTATCCTCTGATGGTCCACCATGGTTTGTCTGGTATCTATGCTATGGGCCTTCTTTTGTTAGGCTGGAGATAACACCTCCTGTGGCAAACTAGTAATTCCGATAACGAACGAGACTCTGGCATGCTAACTAGTTATGCGACCCCCGAGCGGTCGGCTTCCAACTTCTTAGAGGGACAAGTGGCGTTCAGCCACCCGAGATTGAGCAACAACTAGTATTTCACAGTTGCTAATGTTTCTCTCCTGACTGGACGGAGGAGGGGGGCTACAGTTTCAGAGCAAACATTTTTACAGTTACAGAATCTCTCTCCCATATTAAATATTACCTTATAACAGGGGCTATAGATATTATAAGTGAGATTAATACATGCAGCAATATACAAGCATTTAATAGAGTCTAAACTAAATACATTCTTATAAAATTAATCCCTATTTAGAGCACAACTAACATATAGGTGACCTGGTCTGGTCTCCAGTTATGAGGTTGTCATCAGTCCTTAGCTAATGCCTGCAGCCTGGGCAAGAGCTGGCATCTCGCCTGCTAATGTCACACTAATAATGGTGAAAATTTCTTCAGAATTTCTCCAGCTCACCAAGAAAGGAGGTGCGCTTGTGCCTTACCTGCCATCACAGGGCAGTCCAGGTAGTGAAGGACTGGGCCTTGGAGTCACTTCTGTTCAGCTGGCTCAGCTAGTAGAAAGCTGGGGGGGTGTGTGTGTGTGGAGTGGTTAGAAGAAAGGATTGGTGACTAGGAGGACTGGCTTCTGCTCTGGGGTGAGCCACTTACAGGGATCATGGGAAGGCCATTTTAGCTCCTTGAACCTCAGTTACCCTGGAGCCAAACTGCCCAAGTGCTGAAAATGCAAAGCTGTGCCTGGTCTAAGCTTCTGGGGAGGAATGTGTGTGTCTGGCTCATTTGCTTACATGTGTTTAAATATTTAACAAAAACATTGTGACCACCTATACAGCAATGTGAACACTGAAAAGTCTGAAAGTGCTTTGCTCTCGGAGGCGCGCTGGAGATGAAGTAGTTAATGTTTGCAAAGTGCTTTGCAGGTGAAGAGCACTGAGCGGAATTGTGCCGAGTGTAAATTGTGATTCTGTATGAAACTTGGAAAAGAATCTCTGCACCCACCACTGACATGCAGCCATTGCTGAGAGTGGAACAATGGTGCTGCTGACTCTTCATTTTGAGAAATAACCTGGAGACGAGAAAACGCAGCACAGTCCTTCCAAAACGGAAAGAGCAGTTCCTGACTCTTCCCATCCCTGATGAACTTCTGGGGAATATTTAAGGTGGTAGAAGGTGGAGTAGCTAGGAATCAGGGCAGAAAAATAACTAAGGGCAAAAAACATAGGCTTAATGGCAAGAAGAACCTCCGGGTCAATAAGAAGTATTGGGCTATGGCATGGTCCCTCAGGGGAGGCAGTGGAAGCTCTGTTGCTAGAGACCCTAGACTGTAGGGAACAATCCTGCCCTGGCTTCAAGAAATGGACTGGGTGGGACCCAGGAGATCTCTAGTTCTTTCAAATACTGAAACTGCAGTAGCTATTTAACAGCCACATAGCAGCCCTGCTCACCTGTTTAGGGCAGAAAATGAAGGAGAATCCTTGTCCAGCTGAACATGTGGGAGGGAGGAGGCAGAAGGTGATTGCCCTTTGGAACTTGGCCAGGATCCTGCATCGCATCCAATACCTTTACTCTTGCAGAGTGCCCTGGGATCTGCACTGGGCACACATGGTCAGGGCCTCAGTTCTGCACTGCATCCACAAGGCAATGTCCGATGCTGGACACGCTGTGGGGTTTTCTAGGGAACAACTTACAGAAATCAAACCCTTCTGGAGCTGAATCTGGCTATGGGTATCCTTTGCGCTGGGCAGGATTCCCATGATGATTTGTGTGATAGGGCTGTTGCCCTCCTTTCCCCCATATGCGTATTATTTGTGGTTTGGGAAGGGGGATCTGGCAATCTCCTTTCTACTGATTTGGTATCAAGCATAAGTGAGCAGGTCAGAAGGTTTGTGACTCACCATTTCTCTGCTCTTTTGCACCCTAGTGATGAAGATGAGAGTGCAGATTGTGTGGACTCTCAGCCACGTGAATCCAAAATCAAGAGCTTGTAAGTTTGCATCCGATATACTGATTTGAGGAGGTATTCGTATGGTTAGAGGAATAATTAGCCCTTAGGGCAGAGGTCCCCAAAGTGTGGGGTGTGCCCCCCCAGGGACCTTCCAGGGGCACAGCGGGTTTGGGCCAGCCCCCATAAGGGGTGGGGAGGGAGTGCCTTCCCTCCCCACCCATCTCAGCTCTGCTATGATCCCGCCCCCAGCCATGCCTTGCACTGCACTTGGCCCCATCCCCAGATTTGGCATGGCTCCACACCCAGCTGGGGGCCTGGCTGCGGCTCTGCTCCTGCCTCTAGCCTTGGCCCCTGCAGTGCCTCTGTTCCCACCCAGGGCCAAGGCTGGGGGCTGGGGTGGGACCGGGAGCAGAGCTGCATCTGGCTGCCGGCCCCCACAGCAGCCGAGCTGCGGCTCCGATTCCCCCCTCCCCCCTGGCTGCGGCTCAGTTCCTGGCCTCGCTCCTGGCCCCAGACCCATCCCCAGCTGCGGCCCCAGTCTCAGGCCCCTTACCCCTGTTTCCCCCCCCCCCCCGAGCCATGGCCACGGGGGGAGAGGGGTGGAGAGGGTTAAGGGTGGGCACAGTCCTCAAAAATTTGGGGACCACTGCCGTAGGGCATTATAAATTACTACAGTACCTGTGAGGCTTTATCTGTTGAGAACAGTGTGCTGAGCACTGTATGAGGAGGTGCAGTCCCTGCCCTGAAGAGTTGGCACCTTCGTACGGAGGAGCCAGTGGCTTGTGCATACACACTGCATCAGGGGCTGGTGTGTGTGCCAAGTGCTCTGAGAGGCCTGCTCCAGGCTTGCCATTCTGATTCTCAAGCCCTAGTGTGATTTGCTGCCTCCTCCAGGGTCAGTGATGCCACAAGACAGTCCCAGCCTGTATCACACAGGTTCTGGAGTGCCAGGCAGTGCTTAAAGTATGTGTGTAGGTGAGTGGGGGGGTCACAGACCTGGCAAAATATAAAAAAATTAAATCTAGCTGAGGGACACACTTAAGCACCGTCTTAGCAAAGCTGCTGCTCCCGGATTATGACAGGACCCCTCACGTTACGTACTGGCCCCAGGTGTTCATGGATGAACCTGTCCCTGGTGCTGCCAGGTGTCTCCAATGAACAGTGGTTCTGACAGCAGCTTTGGGGATGTCGCTCTCTCGTGGGAAGTTCACTGCCCCTGCTCATCCACTCTCTTTCTGCTTTCCCTGCAGTTTTGGTCTGTGGTATCACAGCAGCAGCAAAGACCCCCCCAACCCAGGCTGCTCAGGAGTGTGGGAAATCATTGACTCACAGGATGTGCATTTTGAGCAGGAGGAAGAGAACAAACCCACACATGGCTCCCCTGACAGAGTGGTGCCTCCTCCCTGACCTCAGCTGAACAGGATGCCAGCCTATGGCCCATCAGCAGCACCTGCCCCTCCCGGCCCCTCTCTCAGAGACAATTTCATGGGAGGCTCAGTACCCTCAGCTCCTTTAGACACATTGGTCCCCCATCGCAGCAGTCAGCCCTGGAGATGCAGCTGCACAAGACACAGTGAAAGCCTGATGTGTGTAGGATTAGATGGCTCTGGCCACAGCCAATTCCCACACCTCATCTGTGTTCGCAGTTCAGATGCCCCAGTCAATGCCCAGGCTCCATTCACACTTGCAGCTTGGCCCCATCCATGCCTGTGCCCCATCTGCATTTGGAGCTCAGCCCCTGTTGAATGTCCACTCCCCATCTGCTTGTGGCTTGGCTGCCCCAGCCAATGCCTGCACTGCACCTGTGCTCACGCCTCAGCTTCCTCCGCCAATGCCCATACCGTCTGTGCGCTCGCGGCTCGGCCACCCCAGCCAGTGCTTGGCCATGCTGTCTCTTGGCCACCCTCCTAAGTCTGCGTCTTACCTGAGCTTGCACCCCAGCTGCCCCAGCCATCACCCATGCTCCACCAGCACTCATGCCTTGGCCACTGTGGCCAGCACGTATTCTCACACCCCAGCTGGGCTGCCCCAGCCAGCAGCTGCAGCCAGGCTGCACTTGCAGCTCAGCTCCCTCATTGCTGGCTGCTGCTCTCAGGCAAGCACCAGTTCTTCTAGCACCAATGTACCCAAACTATGGCTCGGTGGATGTATTTGCTTCATGACCTCACGGCAGGACACTGCAATACACTGACCCCAGAGAAAAGGTGCAATAGAGCCTCTGGCCAGGGCTCGTCTGTGTTTCACTAGGAACATGTAACAGTGACTAGTGCATGGCACTGGCGAGTGCTCAGGAAATGGAGGTGTTTTAGTCTTTGGGAGTTTCTCTATTATTGGGGCGATGGGGATCTCTCTTGGGTATATTACTGTCTGGCTTTAGAATTGAGATCAGCACCAGAAATAAATCCTTTGAGTGTTGCTCAAAGCGCCTGGCATGGCCTGTGCTTTCTTCTTGCTCTTGTAGGGACTCCCTGGCTGACTGGACTGGTAGTGTCCAGAGGGAGGGATGGGAGTCCCATCCCTCGGGAGACTGAAAACCATACTGCACACAGCACTAAGAAATCTCCCGTAAAGAACAGCTCTCCCCTGGTTGAAGACATGGCCCAGGCAGGAGCTAATGGTTTTGCTATCTCTGCTCTCCATGGTCTTGAGCCTACCACACTGCTCTGTGCTCCTTTTTCCTTGGGAACCCTGCCAGGGATCAACTTTGGAGGCTGCAGGAGTCCAGCCAGCACTGCTTTGCCTGGTCACCTCTCTGGGGCAGAGCAGAGCCCTCAGACCATGTTCCAGCTACCATGCCGGGACAGAGCTGGTTTTGGTTGTTTGGATTTGTTGTTCCCTCGGCTCCTGCTCTGTGAGGAGGTAAAAGTCCAGGCCAGCGCCTGGAAGTGCCCTGCCCTCCCTCCTCCCCTTGTAGCTAGGAGTCTCCCCATGGACTGAATGAACCTCCTGACCTCCTCCAGGTCACCATGCAGGAAAAAGGTGTTTCCTGTGAAAATGCTGACAGAAAGAGCCTGGGAGACAGCCGGATGGCCATTTGCCGGAAACGTTCCGGTCCGTGCTCTGTGCTTTCCGCAAACTGGCTCCTGCCTAGTTAAAAGGGCAGAACTGGGGCGTGCTCTGTCTTGCCAAGGAGAGCAGTCCCCACCAGAGCCCATAGGGCCCTGGACCCTGGCCACACCACTGATTTCATGTGCTGCTCCAGCCCCAGTGCCAGGTGGAGGGAGGCATGAAGTGGGAGAGGTGGGGTCTGCCGTGGTGTGGGGCGTGGATGGGATGTGAGGAGATGGGGGTAGGGAACGTGATACTCGGTGCAGTGGATGAGATGGTGTTTGGGGGTGGGGGTGGGGAGCTTGGCTTTGTCCCTCTTATTGCTGCTGTGGCAGCTATTGGGCTTTGCCAGCAGCAAGTAACTTTCCTCACCATGACGCTGGCTCTAAGGGCTCCCCTGTTTCTGCCCTGCAGTGAGCGGTGGGATATAGCGTTTGCCCTGCCCCCACTTCCCTTCCCACCCCTTCTGGCTCCTTGGATGTGAGGGATTTTTTCGCCTCCTGCATTTCCTCAGGAAAAAGCAAGGAGGAAACTTGAGGCCAAAGAGAGGGTGAGGCAGAAACTGAGAGGAAGACAGGCAGACAGAACCAACCAACGGACAAGAAAGCTGCATACAGCCCACGCCTTGGCTTGGAAGCCCCTTGTGGCCAGCAGCACCCAGTATCCAGACCGAGATGGCGCAGCTGCTGTTGTTACTCTTGTGTCTCCATTTCTGGCCATGGATTGGGAGCTCTGCTCAAGAGCTGGACCCTAATGGGAAGAATGTGTGCAAGGCCACCAGGTAGGTGCCCGATACCTTTCTTTGCCCACCTTCCCCTTTCGCTCCATACCCATCTCAGCGCTCCCTTCCCACAACAGGGCGAGAAGAAATAAATCTGCAGCAGAGATTAATTCACTCTCATCTTCTGACTAACATACTCAATAGAATAAGCTCCCTGAGCTGGAACTGTATGGCCCAGGGATAAAAGGGAATGGGTGTGTGGCAGCATAGAGATCTCTGCAAGAGAGTATAACTGCACAAGGAAAATATTCTTGTTTAATAGCACAGAGATAGCTGTGTGTGCGGCGAGGGGATCACATAGAAATGTGTGTTTGGTGAATGACACAGTAATAGCTCTGTGTGTGTGAGAGAGACAGGGATCACACAGGCAGAGGACTGTTTGTTTAATAACAGGGATAGCTCTGTGTGTGTGTGTGAGAGAGGGATCACATGTGCAGAGTAGTGTGTGTTTAATAGCAGTTATAAATCCATTGGTGTGTGAGAGGGATGATGCAGGCAGAAGTGTGGGTTTGTTTAATAGCACAGAGATAGCTGAATGTGTGGGTAGGTTTAGTTTTTAGTCTGTTATATCTCAGGTGGCGTCAATATGCTTAGTGCTGCACAGAGAGAGTAAGACAGTCCCTATCCCAAGGAGTTCACTATCTAACACAGACAGCAATTAAAGCCCAGAAAGCACCAGGCGACCATGTGGTGAGAAGGCAGAGTACTGCCATGGTTTTTAGAGTTTTAAACTGTAACTACATAAAACTAACCTTATGGTATCACAGTATTTATGAGTCTGTGGAACTGAGGCAAATCCAGCTCCCTAACACCACTCTCTGTTACATACTATGAGTTAGATATTATCCATCAAACAAAAAGGGCCTAGAGCTGCCTGATTTCTTTGCCTGGGATTGCTCTGTTCTGTGAACTCAATAGGAGCCTACCTGCAGAAGCCTCCTGTAGTCCCTGCCTTCTGGCCCTGGTTCCCTCTTTCTCGACCATTGTGGTATTGTCTAGGAGAGTCTTTTATTACTTGTTTCAGAGTAGCAGTCGTGTTAGTCTGTATCCGCAAAAAGAACAGTAGTACTTGTGGCACCTTAGAGACTAACAAATTTATTTGAGCATAAGCTTTCGTGGGCTACAGCCCACTTCTTCGGAAGTGTGAGGATACTTACATGGGGAGATAGATAGAGACTGGGAATGAGCCATTACAAACATTGAATCTATCTCCCCTTGTAAGTATTTTCACACTTCTTATCAAACTGTCTTTACTGGGCTATCTTGATTATCACTTCAGAAGTTTTTTTCTCTTACTTAATTGGCCTCTCAGAGTTGGTAAGACAACTCCCACCTTTTCATGCTCTCTGTATGTGTGTGTATATATATGTCCTCAATATATGTTCCATTCTATGCATCCGAAGAAGTGGGCTATAGCCCAC